CGCTCAACCCCTCGTGCCTCAGTGCCCTTCTACTCGGTATGGTGCTGAGTTCACAAGCAAACTAGGGCCCCTCGGCCCTATTCCCTAGCCTGGGGCTGCCCGCCACACTATATTTGCTGCACTGCTCTTTGGCATTTATGCACCACCAGGGCTCATGGAACGGAGCCTGGAACCAGCCTCCCGGGCACAGTTTCCACAATACGGGATGAGCCAGTGGCTCGTCAGCACGGTGCCCTTTCGCTCTCAGGTGCTAGGCGTGCTGATGATGGTGATCCCTAGGGGCCTTAGGGGGAGGCCTAGGGGGCCCTGTCTAGGGCCATGGCGGCCTTGATGCGGTGGGATCGCGGGGCCCTCCACGGATGCTAGCTATAGGCCCTGTTGGGCCCACGGCACCACCACACACCTCCCCTTTCTGCGCACTCCATTTGCTTCCCGGCACATTCACTCTTGTGTGCTTCCCTCCAAACTCAACCGCTGGCACATTGGCCAAGTTCCTCTAACCTTGGTGACACCAGCATCTCTGGCACTGAACTCCAATGGCGGCCCATTTTGGGGCTTGCTTTCTTGGTGCATGCTCTATGAACCTACTGGAATTCATCAGGTTCCATGGGCGCCTATAGCATGGCAACCAGGCCCTTTCTTTCTGGAGTTTTTCTCCTTGCTTTCTGGCCAACTTGATGGCTGGCTTCTCTAGCCTTTGTATTACCTGCAACACCAATGCTTGTCTGCCATTGCGGGCCATATGGGGCACCAGCCTCACGGCATTTGCATTGCTTCAACTGGCCCCTCTGGCACGTTCCATTTATTGCGCCTGCTTTGACGGCTCAAACATCTCCTTGCCCGTTCCTGGCCAACCAACGCCAATCAAATGCATGCCAAGCCCATGCATTTGGACGTCCAGAATGTGGACCATCTACGGCGTCCGCTTTGTGGCATGACACTGCTTTTCCCGGCTATTTTAGTATTGTACCACTGGTTCCCCAGTGCTCCGCCACATTGCCCATCCGGCCAGCCATGGCCTCCTCTCCTAGCTCCACTCCCACGTATTAACACCCAACATGACTCACAATACAATGGGGAGTGCCTTCCTTGCATATCACTTGCTCCCGCCAGCCATTCTTGCATATTGGCAGCCACATTACCAACCTCCACCATTGCAACATTTCTCTGCATGTGGCCGCGATGGTCCCCCATGGTCCATCGCTTTTCTGGCCCCTATGGCGTCAATAGCTTCTTGGGAAGTGGTGCCTCTCACTCACGGCACCTGCATTCAGTCACTATGCAACATGTTGACACACACTCTAATGTAGAGCGGCTTGACTCCACCATGTGCTAGTGCACCTTCTCCATCGATTGGGGCTCCTCCATCGGCTTCATTGTTCCCATCATCCTCAAAACCGAGGCTGCCACAGGGCAGCCTGTTTTGGCGGGGATGCTCCCGTTGGACCGGTCGATCTAGGGGGAAATAGACAAGATGGACGGCAAAGGGGAGGGAGGGGTCTGGGCTCCGAAACCAATTGTTGTGCACCACATCGACCCACCCCCAAAGGGTGGTGCTCATGGGGCGTGCCCAGGACTGCTAGAGGTGGGGAGCAAGGCAACTAGAACAAAGTTCGTTATGGTCAAACGCCGCATTTGCTAAATACAACCAAATTATGTTTAATGTTCAGTGGGCCCATTTCAACACTATGCCAGGCAATGAATACACCCAAAATCCTCAGAACTCTAAGACATTTCCATGGCATCTAGCAGAAGCTAGTATTCCAAACAATGTCTCCATATCCTTAGGAACCAAAGAGAGAATGAAATTCATTTTGGGACATTTCGAGCTGAAGGTTCCTGTATAATTGAGAAGGAGCATTCGTTAGCTTATTTCATGAATGGTGGAGGTGGCTGTCAACCCTGGTGTAGGCGCGGTCCCCCCTTAGCCGCGTCCAGGTACCCTGGCCCGCGCTCTAGGGCCTCTCCGGTGGAAGCGTGGTCGTCCTCGGCCGGATGGCATGTCCCGGGCTCTCTCTGGCCCGTGGGTGACGGCCGCTTTGTGCGGTCCCGTCCGAGGCGCGCGGCGGCTGCACTCGAGGAGGCAGGGAGGCGAGCGTTCCAGAACAATCGAACCACAATCGGCGCCGCCGCCAGGCGCTCTTACATGTGGCGGCCAAAATAATGAAAGTTATCATTTTCATTAAGCATCTCCATTTTGCCCAAACCCGTTTTCCGGCTATAGATTAGCTTATGATGAGATATACGCAAATCTGCATATCCTGCGAGATCTGCGATGAATCGTGGCCATGGCAAGTGGACCACCCTTTGCAGTATGCCGATTTCAGTCATGGGTGATGGGGTGGATGGGCGAATGGCCACCATTTTTGAGTGGCGAAAGGGTCGTGGCCTCCCCACCCATCAGGGTGCCAGCGACTTTTCTGAAGAGCTGGAAATGTTGCAACAACAGCAGTTTGCACAAACTGGTGTGCAGGCTGCGGTTTGATTGCCAGACGGCCGTGTCATGTTTGGCAAGCCTTGGAAGAGGGCGAATGAAATGCAAATGGCCCTTCTTGGAGAATAGGACGAGGCGATGCGAAGGGATGGTGTTTTGTTCGATGCGACAAAGGGTGCGACTGCGTTTTTCACCCAGAGCTGCGACATGGCTGGTCTTTCTCCGCTCCTCAAGTTCGAAATTCTGTTTGTACTTGAATCGATGGTGTACAGAGGGCTGGAGCGTGTTTGGCGGGTGGCCTCAAGGGAAGTGGCACAGGCGATTTTGAAGAAAGAAGAAAACAAGCCCGTTCTTTGGTGGGCATGCGGAATTGTCAGTTATCATTTAAAGGCAGCGAAGCAACAGGTCCTGGAGGAGTTTTTCTCCAAGTGAACGGCACAGACGATTGCTAAGGCATGCGAGGATGATGAAGTCAAGGCCCTGAGGCAGGAAAAGGCGCAATTGTAGTCGATGCCACTTGGACCAATCCCTATGGCCCCTATGACAACGCGTGGTGTCCAGACGCTGAAGGAGTACCACGAGCGCCAGCGAGAATTTGATCAGCTACTGGTCAAGGATGCTAATAATGTGGAAATGATGAATTGGCTGGCGAAAAAGGGGCCGAAACCATTGATTCTCGAGCCTTAAGAGCGTGCCCCAGGTGCTGAACGCCATCCATGAAAGTGTCAGGGCATGGGCAGCGTGGCATGGAGAATTTGCGGTGCCATGCTGATCGTATTGAATGGAGATGACGTGGGTGGGACCGTGAGGGCCACAGAGAATATAGAAATGAGTGTTGTGCGCATGAGACCTAGATCCCATGCCAGATTTGATTAGATTTTGAGCAGATTCCCTAGATTTGATGACAATGACAGGCTGGCCAGCCGTGGGATGCATGGCTTGGACTTTTCACCTGTCACTGGCAGTGCATGACATGACTGGATATTATGTGGAAGATTGATTGGATTTGGGAGGGGCAGTACAAAGATGGGACTTTGAATGCTGGAAAATTTTGATGTGCACGACACTAGGCATTATGAGAGGGGCAGCGGGGAATATTCTGTGGTATGTGCTGTGAAGTTTGTGGCTGAGAATGAGTATGAGAATATATATAAACCGGTTGGTTGGCAATGTCGTCGACCCCCAGTTTGTAATCTACGTTTGGTTGCAGCTGTTGCTGTCAGTCAGGCCTCCTCACCGGCTGAGGAGAGGACCTGCGAGGCCAACTGAGCGTCCCTTTCAAGGGAGCGACTCAGGCCCTGTGTGCCACTGGTGTGAGACGACAGGCCTGTGCGTTTCTGGCCGTTTCGTCGCTCAGAATCGACCCCGCTCGACTGAATTCAAGTCGATTTCTCACTACTGCCCTCAGGAGAGTTTTGGCCATGGTAAGGCCTCGATCTTTGCACATTGTATTTCGACAGTGCCACGGGTGGCTCGGGTCGCACTGCATCCTGGGCTGGGCGATAGTGCAACGCAGAGCAACAGGGTTTTGGTGGCCTTGGGGTCTGGCTCCTAGCTGGACCGACTCACGGCCCACGAATCCCTGAATTCGGGCAACGAGTGGCGCAGCCACTCGTGAAGCCACTTTTAATGGGGGGGTTCGGGTAATAATCTTCATTTCGCTTTCTCGCACTCTCGCCCAGCGCTTGCATAATGATTTTGCTGTGAGAGACTGGGGACGGCTGCCTGTTCTCCTTATTCTTGGGACAGAAAGGCAAATCGTATTTCGGGCGAACACGCCCAAGCCAGAAAGCGAGGTCGTTGTGGGGTGCTGGAGAATGGAATACTTGAGTGTCCTTTACATGGTTTCCACATGTCGCTGTTTGAGCGACGGTCGAACGCGTTGTTGGAGTTGTATTATCAGCCACTGACCTGGGTAGGAAGCCACAGGGCCGGTCGTAAGACCGCTTACAATGCACAGCACTGGGGAAAGGCAGATGTGGGCCAAGCAAGCATGCAAATCGTTGGTGTGGAAATGCATGAACTGTCCTGTTCTTGGAATTCTACCAGACCGGCGTTGGGTGGATGCGCCTTTGCTTTGAATTGGCGGCCAATTCAATTGCAGTGCAAAACGTTTGGGCCAGGGCAAGCTTTTGGCGTTCTAGAAGACCTTCAGCACCTTGGCTCCTATTGGACGTGGCGTGCTCTTTCAGGGGCCGAGTGTGGGAGCCATTTATCCCCTCCCCAAGGTTCCACCTTGTTTCGTTTCGCACTTGGCCCACTCTGAGAGTACGTACAGTCCAGTATCGGGGAGGGAGCCCATGTACCAGGCAGAAATCAAGTTTTCTTTCGCAAGGATACCTGCTGGGGGCCCTGGCTCTTGTGGTGGGGGCTGTAGGCGTACTGCAACTTGCCTCGACATTGACGTCTGCTTCGAAGCATAAGCTGGAAGACTGAGGAATGCGTGACCCCAGCTCTACCAACTTGGGAAGAGAGTCAGAGGTACGCTTCACCAGTAACAGCCATAAAAAGAAGTCGCGAGAGCTATGGCGGCGACCCCTTTTCCAAAGGGGGATAAAGTGGCTGGTCAACTGCCAACCCGCCGTTGATTTTGGCCATCTTTGTGACTTCGCATGTTTCTGTTCACAATTGTGCTACTTGCCGACCGTCGTTCACCACTGGGGAATGCCGATGCCTTCCCATCACAGAACCGTGCTGTTAGGAGAATCGACACCTTGTATCCCAGACATTCTCTTTTCATCTCAACCTTAAGAAAACTGCCTGGCATGCCACATGTCTGCAGCTCCCACAACATCACCCAAGCCACACACTGCCTCCACAACTCAGGTGACGCTAGAAAGCAGCGGGGTCCAGCACCCAAATGGTGCAACAGCACCCAAATGGTGCAAGGGCACCCACACATATACAAGTCAACAGTACTTCTGCGTCGTGGGCACAACCACCGCAGCAGCACCCACAGTGGAGAGCACACCTGGGTCAAAGAATGCTCCAGATCCTTCAATAGCAAAATTGGCGAGCGGCCTTCCCACCTATGGCTGCCACACACCTCGTGTCTTCCAAGTAGTGCGACAGCCATGCACGATGCCGATCACCTCCCCTGCACTTAAATGTCACCTGCTAATGTTACACACCTGCCTGTCGTCTGACCCATTTTCAGAGGGCCCATTTTCAGCCTTAGGCTGCTCCGATCGATCATTGATCGGAAGTGGTTTCGGGGGAGTGTACAACACGAGCTCCATCCCGGTACCCCTAGCAGTGTCCTGCACCTTGTTTTCCTTGTCTGATTCAGTGCCAGGCTCGGATGTGCCCAAATGAGCATCACCGGTGTCAGACCAATGCTTGTTGCTGGAGGACCCAATATCCCAGGTGGAAAAGTTGCTATTCTGGTAGTAGCTCGACTTGTTCCACTCCCCATATGTGTCGTTGCCCGATTGGAGGATTGGACCACCAGGAAGGAGATAGGCATTCCCGTTGCTCGAGTCCCCAGAGCCAGCAAAGTGGCCAGGGCCATTGCTCGAGTTTGTAGCACACGCTTCCCAGCCAACTGCTGCTCCAGGTCCCTCAGAGTACCTTGAACACGTTGGGCTAGAGGTGCTGGGGTATTGGAACCTACAGGCAGCAAATACCAATGTGTCAATTAGCTGCGTTGGCATGCGTTGGAAGATGCCTGTTGAGGTGTGCATGGAAACACAGCCACCATTGCTGCGCAAGTGTGACAGGTGTGCATTGTGGCTTTTTGACAAAAGCAAACAAGGATTGGCACCCACTGCACCACCACCTTCTGCAGCTCATTCTCCAACTTGGGTTTTCCTACCACATCATTGTTACTGGTTTACACAGCCACAAGGTGGACATAGATCGCAAAATCTAGTGTTATCATACTTCCGGAGCTCAGGGCTGCCGTCTTTTCCAGCTTTGGCATGAGAGCGTTGGAGCTGCTCAAGCCCAGCTGTGCCCTTTGGCTTTTATGATCTTGTACATATTTGCCAGATTCTCTGGAATGCAGACTGTTCAGACTGCTGTTTGGCCCATCGCACTGCCAGAATCAGCCTCGCCACTCCAACATGCACTGCATGCACAGACACTGGCAGTTTGCAATACCCTGAAACACATACAACAGAGCACACACACCTGCTGGAGTTCATGTCCCTGCTCCTGCAGTAACTGCTGCAGTTGACGCCTCCATCCCTCAGAGTCCTCTGCCATGCCCTCCCACTCTCCCTGCGCTCCTTCATGGCCATTGACACGATGTCCTCTGGGTCCTTCTGCGCGTCCACTCGTCTCCTGTAGAACAGCACGTACGCCGCAGTGCTCACCACCACCCTGGGGGACACCTCGCTGACGTACTCGTCATCAAAATGGTACCATTTTCCGTTGAAGTGCTGGCAATATGCAGTATAGTGGCCCATTCGCACTGACCCATAGTGGTTGAGAACTGCGTACAGATCGTACACTGGCTCTGTGTCCTGCTTGATGGCCACATATGGGGACATGTCCAGCCCCTCGATCGGGAATTCGACCAGCATGCTGTTGCGCTCCCAGCCCTCGCCATTGCCCCGGTTCTCAAACCGCTTGATCTGGATGACCAAGATCTCAGGCAGCTCAAAGATGTTGAAGCAGTTCTGCGCAGGTACCTGCTTCTTGCAGCGGTCGCAGGCGTAGGCGTTGTGGCCCGACAGCCGGGTGGGCTGCTGGAAGACTTCAAACAGGTGGTCAAGGTCCACAGAGTGGGCCTTGTGATTCTGTGCCAGCCTCGCCCTTTGCACGCTGGGGTCTGTCTCGGGGCTGGCCAAGCAGGACAGGTCAAAGAACTTGTGGTGGTCGCCTGCCCACTCCAGCACAAAGTCCTTCTGGCTGCTTTTCCTGTCGGAGTAGTAACCCATGCACCCCCAGAGCTCCCTAAGCCTGTAGGCACTGTCTGGGCCTGTGGCACCACCAAATGCACCACGATCGGTCACTGCGCTGAGTTCATGGCCATATGCTGACCCATACTGTTCGCCGTCATACTGGTTCCCATCATCCTCATCAAAAAGACTGCCCACATATGGGCCCCTGTCGTCTTCTTCCGGGCAACAGAATGTGCCACGCGGGCTGGTTGCTTCCTCGCCAATCTCCACTCCATTGCCACCACTCCTTACAGCAGTGGGAGGGCTCATGCTGCGATCCTCAGGCTCCCCAGGAGACATGAGCTCTGGTGCCTCCGCAACCTTCTCACTGCAGTCCTGCTCCTCGGGGCAGGCGGCTGCCTCCTCAGACACCTCCACATTGGCGGCACATCCCCCTCCTGGCGAGCAGTGGGCACTGCACTCTGTTGACAGGCAGGCAGACTCAGCGCTCGCCTCCCCTTCGCCCTGCTTCCCGGACAGCCCTCCATCCAGCAGTCCATCCTCAGCACAGTGCTGAGAGGCCTCAGCTACATCGTCAGCATCATCCACACCCTGGTCCGAACACATGGGACTGCGCTCAGGGCTGGGGGCGCACCCCTTGGACGACCCAGCATCCTGCTTCTCATCCATGTCACTGCCACCCACAGCCCTTCCAAGTTCACAATCTGCAATGATCCTTGTGGGCTCAAGACAGTCACTGCCACCTGAAGAGTGCCGGCCACCAAATTCCATGGTTTCGTCCCCGCTGCCACATGCGCACTGCGTGGAGCTAGCCGGTGAGTTGCCGCTGCTCCGCTGGCCAACCCTCTCCCACTCATTTGTGTCTTCACCACTAGCCTCGCCAACAGCCTGGGCGGCATGCTCATAATGGCCCCTGGCCCACATGTCAGTGGTCCCATGTTTGCCCCAATCTTCATCCTGCTCCACAGCTCGACGTTTGTATGGCCTAAGGGCCCGGTCCAGCATCTCATGCAGTGCCCCCCGTTTCTTGGAATCTGTTGCATCTGCCATGTTCTCCTCTTTGACCCAGAACACGAGAGGTGTTCCAAAGGTCATGGGAAAACTATAGGTGGCTGGCTTCCTGTGTTGGATATGGGTCTCCATGCCACCTGACAGAGGCCCCTGTTCCTTGTTGGGGTATTTGTACACCACCAGCTCATCGTCAAACCTGTCAAGGACTTGTTTGAAAGGACTCAGTAAGAGCGGCAGGACTCAGGGAACATGTGACTGCCATTCCTCCACAGCTGGGTAGCAATGAACTTGAAAACATGATGACAAAATGATCGCAAGATACCCACATTTGTGGCTGAACCAGAAGAAGCAAACAGTCTCCAGATTCTGTGCAGTTGGCAGACTGTGGCTCACAGCCCAGCACAGCTGGCTGCACATACAATTCTGGTGTGATCAGTGGCAGGCAGCTCTACAAGGCACACACTGACATTCCAGCAGCGAATGTCTTTCAGAATCCTATTAGGGCATGGAATTCAAGCCATTTCAGCAGTGCAGTTTCTTGCTTCCCAGCAGAGGCAAGGCCGCTCACCCGATCCTGTCCAGAGACTCGTGCATCTTCTGCAGTGTCCTCTGCACTGCATGGCCATGCACGACTGCTATGTAAATGACAGCATTCATGTCACTGTCTTCCACCCCAAGCGCTCCAGACACAGCAGTGTACAAGTCCTCCACCGAGCCCTCCCAGTCCACCTCCACTGCATGCCGGCAGGGGGCCTTGGATCCATCCACCTCGATCACAGTGAAGATGAAATGCCTAGTGGCTGGGTGGGGCAGCTGAAGGGTGACGGTCATCACCGGGTCAAAGCGACGAGACACTGAACCGCAGTTCAGGCAAGTCGTTGTGCACTTGTACATCCCAGTGCAGTGATCAGACATCAACGATGTGTTGCGGTCCCTGTTGGTAAGTCAAAACACCAGTCTTGGTGCCAAACTGGCATCAAGTTTTCTTCTTGTGGCATTTCTTATTCCAGAACATTACGTAATGGGTGAAAGCCCAGGTTGTTGATGTTGTTCATGACAATGGACAGCTTTAGCCAGCACTTGGCACACGCACGCTCACTGCTGCACCAGGTACAGGAGAAAGACAACAAAGCATGGCCAACCAACATGATACTTTCTACATAAATCTGCAGTAACATGTGCGATTCATGGTCATTGTCTTCTAATTTGCCATCATCATATCCAGCCAGTGTAGACACCATATACACATCATGTTCAATATCCCAGTACCATCGACTCCGCCATACAGGGGCAGGGAGTGTCGCTGCTAGCAACCCCGTAGACCGCCCACAGGGGACAGCTGCACCGCACTGTCTAGTAATCCAACAACCGTGAGCCACTGGCCAGACACCAACAGTTTCTGGAAACACTTCATGCAAAAAGGCTGGTTGGAGGGTATTTCTTTTCCATCTTTGTTGCTAAGATGCTGATGGCCCCTTTCAGGAGATGCGATGGTCACTTGTGTCCGTATTGGAGATCATCTGCAGGGGACAGAAACTTACTGCTGTTCAGCGCCTTAGCTCAATGGAATATTGTCAACCAAAGCATCGCATACATCGCAAACATCGGAGCAGAGAAGCTTTGCCAGCAATTTGGGATGCTGGGCTGTTCCAACGTGTGGCTGTCCGATCTGGATCGTCATCCAACCATAAGCCACAGGCTAATCCTATCAGAAACAGTGTGCTCGTGAGGATATTTGGGTCCATCAAATGGCAATAGACCATGCAAGCATCACTCTCCTATGTTGGCTTCAATTCTTGCAAGGATGATTGCTAGTGTCCGCAATGCACACCTTGGTCAAAGTTGTTTTCCTCAGGAACTCGTTGAATGCAGTCGAGCCATGCTCGTAACAACTCAGCCAAATGTGGCATGGGCACAGACACCTTCAGCATTTGTACAGATCCTTTAAAAGGCAGCTGTCGCAAGTTGGGTGAAGGAACTCGATTCATACCTCGCTAATGGGGTGTACATCAACTGATTGTTCCTTCTGTTCCTTCCTCACTGGCCTGAAAATGCCTGGGTATCTTGCAAACCAAGCAATTGCACACTCTGGATTTGACCACTTTCGGCTTTTGTGTGCCAGCACATAGCTGCACAGAGCTCTGGCAATAGGTTGTGACGAGCACTTCCTCTTCCGATGATGCTATTCTGCCAGTATGGAGATTGACGACCAATTCTCACCTGTAGTACTCCCACGCTTCTTGGGCAACATGCAGATCTGTCCGATCTGGATCGTCATCCAACTATAAGCCACAGGCAAATCCTATCAGAAACAATGTGCTCGTGAGGTTTCTTGGCTTCCCTGCACTGCTGGTAGGGATAATCAACGACTTCCCTCCCACATCTATTGATTTCGTGTGACATGACACATAAAAGGGTAAGGTGGACAACATCCCTACCAAGTCATTTGCAGTCAGCCAGGAACTGGCATGAGCATCACAATGCTAAAAACAGATCTGCTTGAAATCTCCAGATGGATGAAAGGGCAGCGACACTGTCATACCGTCATCTTTCAATACGTGCACTTCACAAGGATTTTCACAATACAAGATGCTGACTTGTGCGGGAACTGTGCAAGAACCATTGGGAACTACAACCATTGGCAAAGAGCCCTAAGTTCACAGTGGGCACACAAACCTTCCTGTACGGCTTCTTCTCAGCCTTGTTCAGGTCCTCATGCAGGCCATCCAGTGCCCAGCCCAAGAACTCTTGCGTGTCATGGTGTCGACCCTCCTCAAACAGGAAAGTATTGTTGCACACAGTTTGCTTGAACCCCCTTGGAGCGTAGTAGTGGTCTCTCCCCTACGTGCAGCAGCAGTAGTGTCTGAAGCTTCGAATGGTCTGGTGAAATCAAGGTTGCCAAAGGAGGCAATGGGGGCTGTGATGTATGGCCCTGCCAGCATACTCGCCAGTCTTCTTACCAGCCAGACTTCCTCCATCACTTCACCAAAGGCTTCTGCAACCTCGCCCTTGTAGCCCAGCAAGTTGGCTGTGTTGATGTCATCCCTGTAGCTGCCCGAGACAAAGGGATGCACCAAAGGGGGGGTGTGAGCCAGACATTGCAGGCTGGAGTTCATGAAGCATGTATTGTGCAGGTTCTTCAGCCCCACGACACCTGAGTGCCTCCCCACAGTTGGCTGTTCATGCACACAAAGAACTTGTCAGGAGCCTTCAAGAGCTCAACGTGGAAATTTCCGCCCTCTATTTCTACTGATCAGGATTTTCGTTGGCTTCTCTGGGGAGCCATTGTTCTTGTTGATGAGAGGCCCATCACGTTGCCCAAAACAGCCTTGTGCCCTTGCAAGGGCTTCACATACACAAGGTTGGGAGCAACGCATGGCCACAGATTGAGGTGTTTGCCACTGCGGGAGTCCTTCCTCTCGCTCCATGTGACTAAGCACAGTGCATAACCAAGCTCAAGGGGGCATATGAGCCTGGGAGCCTGGGAGCAACCAGTGGTCAGGCCGTATATGAGCCTGTGAAACTGGAGACGCCCGCGCACCACTGCCAACCAATAAGCCACGCAGCCCCGATGAGCGCAATCCGAAGTAGGGGCAAAGACCGCAACCCAATCGATGCTCGCGTCTCCGGGTGACCCAGATCCGCAACCGGCACTGCAGACGCGGAAAGGCTGCAATCGAACAAGCGCCTGTCGGCTCTGGACGCGGGCACCCTCGCGATTCCTCTGCCCTCACCATGAAGAACAGTGGTCGCTGGCGTGAGCGCCCACAGAGCGACCCAGCTCGGGTCCAAAGACGTCGCGGACAGGCGCAAACACGCCATCAATCGGAGGAAAGTCGAGTTCTAATTGCGCGGACTTGGCGTGATTCCCGTGGCAGCCGCAGGCCCTCCATGGCTGATCGCAGTGCGGGCATTCCAGTGCCAAGGTCGCGCCCGACGCGGCCACAGGCGTCCGGGCCCAGGCCACCGCGCGGGGGCCCAAAGACCGCTGTGCCAGTCCGTGCGGCATTCGCGAAGGTGCGGGGGATGGGACCTAGGCGACCAGGTCAGGGATAGCCTCGACCGTGGCGATCTTCCCGCGTCCCTTAAACCCAAGGTCAAGGCGTCCGCCCACATCTTCGGGCCGCGATCACAGTCAAAAAATCGTCGACTCGTCCAGGCAGAGCGTGCGCCCAGCAGACAGATTCCGTGCAGGGAATGCCCGGATGCAACCTAGAGTGCCGCGCAATCTCCTTCCCTCCACAAACGGCAGCGCCTGCGCGACCGACGCGAAAACCCAGGGAGAGTTGGATCATCAGCCGCCGACCTCGGGGTCCACCCACCTTGCCGTCGCTGCTCGCGAAGCTGGTGTCCTGCTCCCGGGAGGAGCCCCAACCCGACGGGCCGGCCATGGCCGACTGCGGCACCGGGCGGCAATCCGCCCTTCAGGGATCCCTGGAAGCGCAGACGCGGCGCTTGGTGGTAGTGGCGGGGCGCCGCACGGCGTGGGGGAATAGCGCCACCACCCGGGAGCCGCGCAGCAGCTGCCCGGGGGGTCAGCTGCCGGTGGTCGAGCGGGGTCGGCGTTGGCCGGCTGGCCGGGAGGGGATTACAGCGCGAGGCGCGTGGCCGCGGCCGCGGGGACGCTGGACGCTCGACGCCGGGGAAGGTGCTGTGCGCGACGGCCGGGCAGGCGGTGCAGCGACCGTGGATTTTGGGGAAGGGTGGGCGTTGGGTGGGTCGGTGGGGGCCGGATGCAGGGAGGCGGAATGGATGATTCTGGCATTTGGGGTGGGCGTGCACTTGGGCGAGGCGCCTGGGCCCCGGGGCCTCTGGAAGGTTCAATGTTTTGGGAGCCGTGCCGGGCCGGTTGGGTGGTGGGCCCGAGCGGGCTAATTTGGAGCGGAACGCGCGGGCGGGACGGGGAAATGGGGAAATGGGGAAATGGGGAAATGGGGAAATGGGGAAATGGGTCGTTTGGCGGGTGTTGGTATTTTGATGAGGCCTTCTGGCCTCAGAGGGGGTAGGCGCCAGTGCCGACACACTACCCAACAGTCTCAAAATACGCGCCCAGCGGCCCCTTATTCGAGCACGCCTTTGAATTCAACTGACAACGTCAGCTCAGCAATACCTTGCCATATGGGCACGAACCGCCTGTCCTTCATTGGCATAGTTCCATTGGTGCCGTCTGTCACACACAGCGCACCAGGCTGCCCTGAACAGGTAAAGGCTTTTTCGCTCATGGTTCCAGGCCGTGAAATCAGTCAGCCCATTAAACATGAACTACAGATGAACAGCGGCTGTATACCCACTTTGGACCACAGCCACTGTGGCTGAAGCATTGAGCATCGACCTGAACTTTCCATCCATTCTCCTTTTGGTTGACGCTGCTATTAAACCTAAGGTCGATCAAGTCCTTTGTCTTGCGAGCAGGCTTGGCTTTTACGCTGTAAAAGCTGATCGTATTTACGTTTTTATGCGTAAAAATAGTTTTTAAGTTTCTATGCGTAAAAGTGCGTAAAATACATAAACACAACGTAAAAACTGCCCGGTGTACATAAGGACAGTACATACAGACTTATGGAGTCCGGAGAGTGGCAGCCAGACGCCCTGGAAGGGGCAGGAAACGAGTTTTTGTTAAACGCCATCGTCGCCCTTGCCAAAGGCAAGTTGGGCACTGTGTTGCAGGTACTGGAGATGGCAGAGGACTGATCATTGTATGCAACTTTCATCGTGTAACCTGGGTGTCATAGGAGCCGTAAAATAATGAGAATAGCTGTAAAAATAGGGTCTTTTGCAAATTTACGTTTTTATGCGTAAAAACGTAAAAGTAAAAACGTAAACGTAAACGGAAAAACCAAGCCTGCTTGCGAGCACCGTTCCTGATTAGAAACACCAAAAACTCCGAGCGTTTTACCAAAAGCAGTATGGGGTCTCTCTATTACTTTGAACGATACCAAAACACTATTCCCAGCGCGGGAAACATGCTGGGTTTTACATTTACGAGATCTGCATTATTGTTTTCTGATTTCAGTATTTCTGCTTGCTTTTTATGCTGGTTGGACATGCTGGCTGCTGAATGCCAACAGTGCCACCCATATCAAATTCCCAGTGCATGGTGTGGTGTCGGCAACCAAATGTTCGTCATGTGTCAGTGTCATTTAATGTAGCGACTACATGAGGGCCAGGTCAGCACATCAATGATCCCGCAACAATGCCACTGCTTAAACGGCTGTCGAATCTCAAGATGAACGTCTCCCCATCCCCTGGGGAAGCTGAACACCATGCTGGACCTTATCAACCATTCTGATCGTGTCGAGATCCAACACCGCTAACCGTAAATGCATGAACAAGGCAGCACTGCCTCGAAAACAGGTATTATTCTCGATTCTGCTGAGAACAAAGTCATGCAGAGCGAGTTGGGACTGCGCATTGATGATGCAACCTTGGCCCGTCAGCGAAAGATCCGCACCACCGTACAGTTGCGTGGGCATGTTGCCAATGCCGAAAAGCGTAACAGAAGGAGTCACACCCAAATGCTCAATGATGCCCAGTCCTTCACCGCAGGCTGAACCGCAATTTGCTAAATGACGCGCACCCATTGTTAAGACATTGTTGACCCCGGTTGAGTCCGGACCACAACAGAAGGGCCGGGTCGAATTGCGGGGGCGCGAATGCTGCCACAGTGGCCCAGTGGCTTTGGTGATGACCGTGCCGAGGAGGGGTGACGCCAGATGCGGTGCTACAACTGCACTGTCATGTTTTAACTCTGCGTCAGTTATTATTCATTGAGCCCGTGGCCTGATGGACGCATAACAGAGCGCAAAACTTCCGTTGGTGCAGTTGGACTGTCTGAATGATATCAGAACGCGGGCTTGGCCAAAAACATAAATGTTCGTGTAGCGGCATAATGGTTACCGTTTCAGAGTGTGGATCAGTTGTGATCCGATAGCAATTTCAAAAGCATGCATGACTGGCCGCATGAGATGCCCTTAGCAAACCACCATTGTGAAAAACATTGAACGTATTCATGCATTTCTTGATTAAGAAACTGGGACTGCTTGGCATATTTTGGTGCAAAGGATGCATTTTAGAACACGCTCATGTTCAATTGGGGAAACATCAGTTTAGAGGATGGACGGTGAGGGAATTGCCCTGGCCAGAGCGTCTTCTCCACAAGAAAGCATGTGGTGAAATTGTTGACGTGTTTTATCACTCTCTATGTTTGCTGTAGCTGGCAGGTATTTTGAATCTTGAACAAGGCCGGATATCCGCGCGCGCTATGCAAGCGCGGTCCTCTGATTAACCCGACGGTGCGGCATCGTGCGGTCGGTTGGATTACCCAGATGTTCTTTGATAGCTGTGACACAATACAGACAATTGCATAATGTGCAAGGGCCAAATAGGAATAGTTTTTGAGGCTTTGGCAAGCAATTTGAATACAAGCAAGTTTGAACATGAGTTGAATATGTTCAATCGCAGTGATTTTCAATCACCTGGATTTGGCTTTTTAGGATGAAGTTAGGCACACTAGTTAGTGCTTGAAATGGTGTGGCAAACGGTGTATGAACTCGTGCACCAATTGTTGGCCGTTTGAATGCAGTGATCATTGCACCAATTTGTGCATCAATTGATGCACTGACTGCAATGTGAAAACGAATGTTGGTTTTGAGCGATGGAATATTATCATCTGGACTCATGTTTTGGGATCCAAGTTATGTGTATTTAGGGCATGTCATGCACCAACTCGAGTTGTTGCCTTGTGCACTTCACGGTTGGCCTTTATAGTGCTTCATTTTGCGCCCTGCAACTAATAGCATATCAGCACCTGCTCAAAATCAAATATTGTTGAGAATCTATGGTTTGATCAGGAAAAATAGGCGGTAGCGAATGGGCTTCTTTTCAGCTGACAATGTCCCGTCCTCTGTGGCACCCACAGAGGGGTGCACAACAGAGGTGCAAGTGGATGATAGATTCTGTTACTGTTGTCCATGATTCGTGATAGGTTTTGTTTTTGTTAGTTAGTTTTCTGGACAAGGACTTCCGTTGCAGGTCAGCATCCCTTTGGCTTTCTGTTCTCGATGCTTTTTTTTGTTGAACGTTTTTTCATCCGTGCTCATCCGGGACACGAGCGAGCGCCCAGGAGCGAGCGCGTTGGAGCGCGCCTGCAACGAGCTGCACCCACTGGGAAGGGCGAGGGCGAGGCCCAAGGCGGGGCAGCCCAGGCGCTGGCTGCCCACGCCTCGGCTGCCCTGCAATTGACCAGCGATTGACCGCCAATTGACGGGCGCCATAGCAGGCGATCGCCACAGCTAGGCGCGTTGTGGGATCGTCTGGTGTGTTGGGCGAGTTGGCCGCCTCAATCGCCGCTGGGTCGCCGCTCAAGCGGAGACTACGGCTGAGCAGCCGTTGTGGTCGATTGAGCGGCACGCGGGCAGCCAAGCTTGCACAGCATGGCCGAGGCAATGGTAAGGGGTTTCGTGGCGATTTTGCCGGCCACTTTGGCTGGTCACTGCTAGAAGGTTGGGTAGACAACGCGCCAAACGAGGGCGCAGATGGTCGTTGGCGCTGGCTGCAACAAAGTGTTCCATTGAAGAAGATGCGGGCAGCGAACACGTCAGCCATTCTCGCCAAAACTATCAAGCTTGTGCTTATGTGTCTTTGTGTCTGGGCCCTCCCCTGCCCCCAACACTGACGGGCAGCCCGGGACTTCCGATTGCGTGTGAATTCCGCCCAGCACTCCTAGCAGTTGGCGGCACTTTTGCTCCTCCGTGGCGACCAGCCGTCAGCACCGCCACGCTACACTCTCCTCAAGACTCCCTGCGGGTCTGCCCACGCCTTGAGGCTCCCTTCTGGGTGCGCTCTTTTGTGCTACTCAGGAGAGGGGCACCACAACCCCATCGATTGGCGTCCTGAACAAACGCGGATGTGGCGCTTCCTGGGCGGCCGCCCTTGGCCCTCGCAGCCAGCTCGATTGGCAGCTGAATCGCGGGCGTGATGGCAGGCAATCGCCCACCGTGGATGGTTGTAATCGGTGGCCGCGAGCAGCGAAAGTGGCTGGATTGGGATGCGGCGACCAGCCTCCCACCCTCCTCCGGCTTGCGACTTGTGCTGGTGGTCTTATGGAGGTTGTGCTTGTAGCACTCTTCGCGCAAACCGCCCTGAAGCAGCGCGCATCTCTGCTATGGCTCCAGAGGGCCTGGCTGTTTGTTTGGCAATGGGGCTTGCCGTTCTTTGTTTGTTGGCTGGGTGGGATAGTGTGGTGGGTCGAAGGTCGCGTTGATGATGCCTTCGCAATACGCTGGGCATGGGGCCCAACCCCGGTGCCCTTGCCCTTGTCCAATGGGCTGCGCCTCGCCGCGCCGCTGTTTCCAAGGTGGCCGGAGTGGAACACCTGTGGCGATTCCCCAAG